TACCCAAAAAAACAAAAAGATCTGACCCAAGCCCTCAACAAAGACAAAGATCTATAAAAGAATATTTCTCTCCGGAGAAGAAAGAGGACGGTGGAGATTTAAAAAACAATCTCTCCAGCGACGTTGTGAGGACGTCGCTGAGTCCCAACCCTAGAGAAGCAAGCGCTAACAGTTCTGTGAACAATTCATCAATTTCTACTCCTCTTTCGTCACAGTTAGGGAGTGATCAAGCAGCTACTTCCAGCTTATCAACAAATGGTAGTTGCAATACCAGCTATCGCAGACGCAAGCGTGCTCGACGGTCCAAAGAAAACAGGTAATTTTGTTGCTTGTCGACGTGATAACGACGGACAAGCGAGAACGTCACAAACAACAGTTGGCTTTTTTTAAGCAAAACAACAATTGCACGTGCATTTCTGACACTTTTTTGTAAATTTCTTTGCGGTCACTTCCCGACTACGACGTGAAAATGCCTGCATAAGTTCACGTTTTTTGGAGGACGCGTAAACATGAATAAGTTCAGCCAACGACGATTTTTCTTCTTTCTGTACTTGGATAAGGCCCGTTTCAAACGTTTTGCTACTGCCGTACCGAACTCAATTGATTGAATTAAATTCGACTTTAGCACGGCAGTAGCGCGACGTTTGAAACCAAGTCGTGCTACTTCAGTGTAGCACGGCAAGCCTTGCCGTGCTACACGGCAGTAGCTCGACTTGGTTTCAAACGTCGTGCTACGGCCGTGCCGAACTCAAGTCATAAATTATAAATACAGTAGAATACATTTTAAAGTTTGCTAAACCGTTTCTTTATTTTTGTGTTTCGTTTTCAGCAACAGCCGTTCCATTCGACTGAATTAAATTCGACGTCTGAAACCAAGTCGTGCTAGTGTCGTGCTGCAGTCGAGCTACAGTCGAGCCAGCTTAGCACGGCAGTAGCACGACGTTTGAAACAGGCCTAAGGCTCTTAGAAATTCAGCTCCAGCGCATTTTACAAAGTTATTAATAATGAGTTGGAATAATCGCAAAGAAGGTTGAGAAAACGCCAATCCACTTTTTAAGCAACGTTTTCGCTACCGTCGCCGTCATCGCATCTTAGAGACCTTATAGCGAAATTCGTTGTATCGCGCTGCACGTTTTGCAAACTTCAAAGGAATTTAGGGTTTTTCTGTTCCATCAATAACTGACTGAGGGGACCTCTTAGGAAACACATGTTTACTTGCACAAGTTCAAAAGGCCATGGTTTGTGATTCGTGATTGGTGGATTTTGATCAGTTTTGTCTCTTTCGTGTTTCAAGGTTTGTTGCTTCGTGATCATCCCGTTTCGGGCAATAATCGACTAGTTAAGTTTGCTTCGCAGATTTTTCTGATCTTTCTTATTCTTGTCACTAGCAAAAATAAAGCAATGTCTGACTCCTTCCTTTGACAAAAAATCCACTCAGCATGAATTGTGATTTGCTTCGCTATTCTTGAACAGTCTAAAGTCATTCTCAGCCAAGCTGGGCGAGGAAGTGACATTGTGATTTGCTTTAACCCCGCCTTCACTAAAATGATTGACAGAACAGAAAAACCCAAAATCCCTACGAAGTTTGCAATACGCGCAGCGCGATACAACGAATTTCGCTGTAAGGTCCGTCGTGTCTAGAAAATGACAACCCAGAAAGCGACGACCTTGAAAACTGCCGACCCAGGTAACCACCTAGAAAATGACACAGTCTGCTGGACAAGTGGTCTATATAGCCTTGATTTCAGATAAATGGAAATCGACCTAATTTCTTTATACAAAGCCCCAGCTTTCCCTGCTGTGCAAGGCTGTTGTAAACCGAATCTCCCTCATTCATTTCCCCCACCTCCAGGGTAAAGCAGTCTTTCATATCCCCTTCTAAGTCCCCACACAAAGTTGTATTTGCCCAGTGCCCCTCTCCCCCTCCAGGGGATGACCAATGATAGGTGCATTGTGGTCAAGTCCCCCGAAAACATGTCATGCAAAATTATGTTGCCAAAATTTCATCAATTTTATTTCACATTTATCATGCTTGTTTTGTCCCTCTCTTAATTAAAATGTAGGAGGCATTTTGGGTAACGAATTGATTTATGTTGATAAGCCTCAAACATTTCGCTTGAAATTGTGTATTAATATTTTAAAAACAGTTGTTCAGTTCTGTGCCCAGAGGTCATGGGAAACCATCTACAACAATTTTTGGCTTCCATGAAAATTCATGGGAACCCACCTCCTAAATGTTTTCAGTTTTCAGAGTCATGTTATATTTTTTCTTGGCACTGGAAGCCTATAACCAGTAGCGTGCAGTGCACATTGGGAGTGATTCAAAATGGTGGAGACTAGAAAATTTGTAGATGCTAGACAATGTTTTAGTTTGGTATATGAGGGGAGTTATGACGAAAAAATTGCTCTGCATAGTTATAATTAAGAATCTGCGTGGAAATTGTTGCATTTTCTGCCTGTGTTATTTTGACCAGGTTGTAATTCTGAGCCATAGAATGATGTACATTTACTTGCATGTAACTTTGTACTCTTTAGATCATCAACAGACAATCTTAAACTAACTGAAGAGCAATTGAGTATCATCAATCATGATGAAGATAATGGAGGAGTAGTCAAAATCATGGCTTTTGCTGGTAACTTTAAAAAGTTTGTATTTTGTGTGTGTGTGTGTGTGTTTGTGTGTGTATAGGAAATTGAACATAATATCATAACAATTTGCAGCTTCCTTTGAGTAAAATTCATCCATCATTTTCATCGACTCAAGCTTTACCAGCCAGAATAACTTAAATAATCGTTAAGAAAGGTGATTGTAGTCATCTCTACAGTGGCTATCTCATATGGAATTTTCACATACATGCGTGGATCTCCAATTTCAACTATCCAATTCAACTCTTTATGATATATATGGATACTGATGCACTTCAATTAAAAAATTATCGTGTTAATATTAGTATTATTATTGGTTTGCACACATCAGTCAGGTACCTTTTTACTTGCTAGAGAAAAGATTCTTCTTGATTTCTGGAAGCATATCGCGTGCTTATAAATTTATTGGCAAAATTTTTGGTGGGTCAGCCAGAACTGTCATCAATGAAAATTGATTGACAGTGAATCATTTTTCAGCCAATGGCAGTTACTTCATCTGGGGAAAGCAGAGATGGAAAGCAGAGATGAAAATCCTTCAGTGATTGTTGCAAACTTTCCTTTTCCTCCATCCCTTGTGGCTTTGCCTCTTGCTTACACATTCTCTTGTGCAAAATGGGGAGTCTACTTGCAGGCAAAATATTGACACCATAATTCACAGGATCTATGTCTGGGATGCTTAATGGGAAAGTTACGAGTGTTTTTACAGATGTTTTCATTGCCTTGTAATTGATTGATAAGCAAATTTGTCCATCAGTCATTGAATACGTCTGTTTATTCATCCATATTCTTTATTTTAGACTTTTTTCTCCTTGATTTTGAGGATTTGACTTATTGGAGGTGATTTTTGACTAGTATAACTGGTTTTGTTGAGTCACTTGAAAAACTAAATAAGTTGATTTTAAAATGATACCCCCACTATAAGTCTAGGGACGTTGCCCATCAGAAATTGTCTGACTTAAATTTGCTCATGTCCGACGAATCTTAACTTTTATCAGACAATCATTCTGCAGTTGAATAAAAGAAAACAACATTGGTGTAGAGTAAACATACAGTGTGGTAGTTATCTGCAAATCTGGCATCTACGTACCATGTATGATTTTTGTTAAAAAAGCACAATGTGGCCTTGATTAAGTCCAATCTCGTTCTCTTCCAACAAAAATGGTGACTCGGCTGGACATAATTTATGTCCTTTCAACAAAGAAAGAGTATTTACAGCTCTGCTCTCAAATAGAAAAAGAAGCTGTTCTATTAAAGTGTATTTAATTTGAAGAATCTGCTAATTTTAGCTTTTACTTTTACCAAGTTATTTCTCTTTTATGAGGAATTCTAAGAAATAAGCATAGTATAAATTGTGCCTCATAAAGTGTCTTTGCCAGAAAGAGTTCAATTTCATAATTTTTTATTATTATTATTTTTGGGTGATTTTTACAGGAACTGGCAAAACAACAACGCTAGTTTTATATACAAAGGCAAAGCCAGACAAGCATTTCCTTTATGTGGCTTACAACAAGTAAGTACTAATAAATTAGATTTTTGCACTTTTTACACAATAGGCTGTTGAGAAGTGGTATTTGACTATAATTTGCAGTGCTGTTGCAGCACAAAAAGATCCTGCTGACACAAAATTATGGAGCAGCAAGGCATAATATGCCATCTTTGATACACTAGCGTTGGACAAAATTTCATCTGAAGTGCCCAAACAAGGCACCAAGTGTGAAAACTAAGAAGAGATGGTGCTGGTGATATGCCAACAGTCTGTACGTGTGCTACATATATATGTTGTAGTTTAATATTCCTGGTACAGATAAAAATAAACATGATGCAAAACAAGATTGCTCACACTAGCTTTGCTCAGTCACATTGTCACTCAGCAATATCAATTTCCATTCTTTGTTGTGGTGAATGTGCATAGCACACTGCCAAGATGCAGGGTTTTCAATAAGAACTCAGTTAGCTGGCGAAATTTGCCGGCTATATTTAACGTGAACTCACTGCTTACTTTTCTTGGAAATTACCTCAGTTTAAGTCGAGTATTCATGTGCATCACTGAATAATAATAAAAAAAAATTAATGATGTTTGTGTTCTGTTCAAACAGTACTTGACTTGGAAACAAAACGGTTATTTTCAAATTGATCTCTTAATGGCAGTTGGTCACCAGAGAAGTGATCGCTACGGAGTTGACTGTATTTACGTGGCAAGAGTATTACCCAAAAAGGAAACAGTGTCTGTTCAGGGTGCAAAGAAAGCAGCTTTACAGCCTGACACTACCCAAGCTGTACCTAGTATGTACTAGCCCACAAGTCATTTCAACTAGCCCCAAAACACTGTTTTACTAGAAGGATTGATTACAATCCTTCTGTAATTTGAATTTCCCAAAAAACAACACTTGCCCATCGGGCAAGTTAAGAACCAAAATCACTAACCCAATAGCAAAATACACTATATAATAAATTATAAATAAATAAATGTCTTTATTGTGCATTAGATACAAATACACATCCAATGTTACAGGATAAAAATATTAAAAGTTCAGCTAAATTACAATAGAATAAAAAGATTAAAAAATGCGGGGAAACTAGTTACACTTGTCTGACGTTAAATATCATAAAACATTGTATTTAAAAATTAATCTATTTACAAATGTGTTCTTATAACATTCGGTGTTTATCTTGGGCCTTTGGAAGCTTTTACGTCTAAGATTGTAGGTTAGATTGTTATTTTCTTGCGGTAAGCACACCTTCAGAGGGTGGTTATCGTGCTGTTTAGCTTTTTGAAAAATTGCTTTATCTTGTTTTTTGTAGTAATGTTCTAATATTTAACTGTGTAGATATAAAGCGTAACTTATGGCATGATCGGTCTAAAAATTGCCGAAGCACCAGCGCGCAAAGAAAGTAGTGTCTGATAGCCCGGGGCTAGTGGATTTTGCTATCGGGCTACACTGAAGACAAAAATTGAACGGGCTGCCCGTTGACTACAAAAACTCCTTCAGCTTATTGTCTTCTTGACACTTCAGTTAAGACGAGCAGTTTTTGCTTTTGGGGCTAGTTGAAATGACGTCTGGGCTAGTAAATGCCAGCTTCAGCTTGCCTGAATGGCAAGCTGTAAAAATAATTTTCTTTGCACCCTGAGCACAATTTCTGCAACAGAGGCACCATAAACAGATAGTGCGGAGGTTATGTTAGGGAGAACAATACTATAGAAGAGATAATCAATTTCTGTCTGGCTTTAGCACTCTTTTCTACATACTCGCACTACTACTACTACTACAATACTACACTCTCTCGATATATAGCCCCGGGCTATCGGACATGACTTTCTTTGCACGCTGCTGTTGTACTTTCCCTAAATGTAGAGATCGGTTAAGCAAAGGAATCTAGCTGGCAACATTCATGGGACCACTACATAAATTTCGTAAAAAAATGCGACCATATTTTTATGCAGAAATTTGACATATTAATCAAAAACCATACAATCTGTAGGTAAAAAGGTGAATTAATTGAAATATTGATGCAAAATGTTACTTACAAAGTTTCAGCAGTTCTAGGCACTATGATGTGAAACATTATCACCAGTTGCCTTTTTGCCTAAATGTTAGCTTGTAAGGAAATAATGTCATTGGTTACATCAATCAGTTCAGTTTGAGCTTATGTTCTTGACATTTTTTCCCTTAGAGGACTACCTCCTGTAAGCAATCGCTTTGTCATGCACTGGTCAAGGGTGGTCACTTATGAGGGAGTTGACTGTATTTTATTTCCTGTTTTTCAGGGCTGCACAAGAACATGCAGAGCTACATTTTCCAGACAATGTTGAGTGTAAGACTCTCCATTCCCTAGCCTATGAAAAAGTAGGCTCACGGTTAGTACATAAGGGTTTAATTTTCCTTGTCTTTCTCTGCTTGCCTTATCTGTTTGCTTTTGTGAGTTATGTCTGTTAGTGTACCCTGACTCCATTTTATATAAAATATCTTAGTCTTTGAGACACAGTACTAGGAATATTATTTGTTTAGGGCGGCCATGATGTTAACTGTGAAGCTACAAACCAAACTGTTGTAAATCAGGGATGGTAACATGATTGAGTGCTTCGGTGAAGTGTTGATTGTTTGCTTTCGCTCTGCCGATTCTTGGGCGAATGGCACTTCGGAGTTAGCAACGGGGCTCAACTTGTGTAAAAACAAGCTCTAGTTGTTGCCCTTAAACTCATGACTGGATCGGACACAAGGGGGTCTCAGTTGTAGACTCTACCTAACATTAATTAACTGGGCTGTCTCCTCAAGGAGGTACGCCCAGTTTACAAAATGGGTCGATTCTGATTTCTCTGTCAAAAAATGAACACAATAATTAATCCACTAACCTAGAGGGTTATCTTATTAACCGGTAATCCAGACGGTGTTGCCTGATCCATAAAGCATGTTTGTCCACCTTGGCTGAGTCTGTGGAAAGATTGATTGTTTTCTGTTTAGTACAATAGGGTTTGGTGACTGAGCATTTTTTAGGTTACAGTTGCTCTCAACGTGGCTAGTGTGCTAGTGTGCTATTGACCGTTTGATTTATTTATATGTTGTTTAAGTACTTGATGGAAAAAACCTGTCAGTAATCTTTAAACTTTCCGCGGTCGCGAATAGTAAACGAACTTATTCCCTTTCTATTAGATGGAAGAAAGATAACCATTTGAAATAAATGCTTAATCCTAATCAGTAAAATGAATGCTAACTAAAATGCGTGTTTATTTTACACCGTATTTTACAAGGAGAGGTACAAATAAATGAGAACGAGTAAAGTGTTAAAAATTTCTAACTAGTTTGAAAAATTCAAACCAGTTTGAAAAATTTAAACTGGTTTAAAAAAATTCAAACCAAAGATTAAATTTGAACCACAACATAGACACGTCCTATTATGAAGCAATGCATGAAACACATACTTTCATGCTTGCTTACTCAGCATTTTAAATGTATGTTTAAACACTGTTCTACGCACCTTGTAACTTCATCTGCGCTTAACGAGTGTCTTTTGGTCCATAACTTTCATAACAACTGCTCCACAGAATGTCACTGATAACACGTAACGCAAAAGAGTATCGAAGTGTGACTGCACAATTTATGTCACAAAATCTACCTATTGTAAGCTGTTCCTTCGGGATTTTTGTGTTTTACGTCATCCTAACCATTTCGTACTTGCGGACGCAAACAATAGAAACGTCATCATTACCTACCGATTCCTCGCGGCCCCTGTTCAAGCAAATCGAGATTTTTTCTATATTGACTGTATGACTGTATATTTCATCCGTAAGTACTTTCCTTAATATGCGCGCGAGTTACCATGATAATACTGACAGCAGTTAAAAACTAGGCAAAGAAAATTTGCAGACGTTTGACTGATATATACTCCCGCTATTGCGGACTCTCTGCAAAGGGAATTGACTGTACTTGTATTTTTTCGTTTCATTACTTGACACTTTCTTGGAAATCTATAATTACATTTGACTCTCGATAACTCGAACCCTCGCTAACTTGAACCTGGCGCTAACTTGAACCAAAATCGATTTTCCCTGGATTTCCATCATACATTTACTGTGATTTTACCCGCGGTAACTTGAACCCTCGATAACTCGAACCTTCCACTAACTCAAAGTAATTTTTGTTTGCCCTCGGATCTTTTCTATATAATTTTACCCTCGATAACTCGAACCATGTTTTGAGCCCTTAAAAAGTCGGGAAAAAAACAGTGTACTGGCGTCCGAAACATTGTATTTTGAAGTCTCATTGGGCCATCCCCATAAAATGTTTCGTTTCCCATCGCCCGACCGACCCATTTTTTTGGAAAAGTAAAAAAAAAAAAATTCCAGAATCACTTGTAAAGAAGCAAGTACTTTAATTTACAAGCACACGATCTTGTCTTATTAACACCAGTTGTCTTAAATTATCATCGATACTTCGTTTTTGTAGCCTATTTAGACATTTGGTAGTCCTGTTAATATACATCTTTTAATTAATTTACCATCTGATTATATCTTGCAGACTAAACGTGAGATTTAATATGCAATCATGTGTTGATTTTTTTTTTTTTTTTTGCCCGACCGACCGACCCACCTTCACGAGAGGGAGGGCGCTGGGAAACGAAACATTTTATGGGGATGGCCTTGACGTGTTGTAGTTTACAAGTGGAGCTGATGTTGTTTGTCACAAATCTAACGTGAAACAGCTTTACTTCTCAAAACAGTAAAACACATGTTCTATTTAGGCTATGTTTTGTTGCGTTACGTTTTTTCTGATTAAACGAACTGTAGTATATATACTGTAACCGTCTTTGGTTTTGCATCCCGAAGAAGGTTGTAATATTGCCAAAAAGTCGGTTTCAGATCTTATAACAGTGTCGATTTTATAATGTTGAGATATTGAAATGAACATAAGCCAGTGGTGAAAGAAATAGATACTTTAGATAGCTTGCCATCGAGCTCAGTCTTCTGTTAAAGTTACTACATAGTGCTTAACCCTAATCCCTCAGAGTGCTTGACTGCTAGTCAGAAAAATGAGTGATTAACCCTTATTATCGAAAGTCAACGGAAACTGCACAATTAATTCAGTGTTCTCCTTTTAAGGCGGTAACCGGTAAAATTTACCGCCTGAAGCAACACTTCTTCCCGCCTGCAACCGCTTGAAGGTTTACTAAAATTAAATAAGTTTTAAAAAATACGCAAGTTGTGATCCGATCCAATTAAGGAAAAGTGAAGAAAGAAAAAATTATGGAAATGTGTTAAAGTATACACAACTTTTCTTTTTATTGGCCATGCATTTTTGAAAGAGAACAGTGAATACAGAGTAAAATTATTGGGATCAAAGATATCAACGCCCGTTTTTCATAAAAGAGGGCTCCGAAATGAGGGAATGATGTTTCAAAGAACTTAGCTCCTCCAAGGGTGAGGCCATGTCTCTCACTCCACTAAGCTGCCCCCCCACCCCCGCCAGGAAAGTGCACCTCTGGGGCATATTTTTGGCCTTACCGGCCATGAATGGTCCCTTAGCTGCTGAGCTAAGAAGAACACAGAAGAGAACACTGGAGAACACTGAATGATGCAAATATTCCAGCAGAAAAACCTCACATGCCCACCAGGAACTAAGCAGGAAAGGCTGTTAATAACAGCCTTGATGTAGTCATGGGTGAAACAAACAGCGAACTTGAGTGAATTTTCAACTCATACATAGTATTACAGTAAAAAATGTGTTATCGTTCGTTTCATCTATTTACATTGTTTAAAGTGTGCATGCCGATGAAATCAACATGCAAGCAAGAAATCTTGGAAACTTTTTTAGACTGCAAAATGCGAAGGAATTATTCTTAAGTTGAAGAAAAATAACAAGAGAAAAAAATGTATGTAGACTGTAGACCACAAATTAGGTTCGTCTATTCAAAGCCTCAGTGCAATCAACGAGGCCAATGGATCGGGATCATTTGGCTGTTTGTTTTAGTAAACTTCTCGTTTTCATACAATACAATATTTCTGTTCAAGTCTAGCTCGATCTCTATGGCAGCCCTATGTAGTGGCTCTTTCGGCAAGTCTAGTTTTTATCCTGGCATTGTTTATGAATTGCATGGCTCGCTGGCTTGTAGATTGTCCGGGGCCCCTCATCTTTCAAGTGTTGCATTATTTTGTCGGTAAATTTGGCCTCAAATTCTCTTGAAGTGTGGTCTTTTTGCAACTTCAGTTCCATTTTGTAATTAAAACTTGAAAAGAGCGCCATTGGTGGATTGCATTTATACCGTCAGCCTAAATTTGTGACTGTATATTGATACAGTTGAACCTTCATTAATGGCCACTTCTTTATGACAGCCATTCCCCCCCACCCCCGGTGGACAGTTCACATGTCGACTCTGGTTTAAACCTCTCCACAACAGAAACCGGGCCACCAAGGAGCATTCCCAACTGCGAAAATAACCTCATGACAATAGCCAGTTGTTACTAAAAGTCACAAGTGGTCACAAAATTTGATCTGTATGGCGTGTCAGTGACTAATTGCAGCAAGTCTTTCAATTCATTTAAGATTAAAAGTGTATACACAATATGTATACAGTACTAACATGAACCTTTCATTTAAACATCGTACTTAGAATACACCTCAGTCTGAGGAGTAAGTTAACAAAATTTTTTTATTGCTCATTTAATGTAAGTTAGACTAAAACTGGGTATCGCTAGTCGCTAATTTGGGTGCTTTTAATCCGGTGCATAGAAATGCGTGTGAGAAAGTGGAAACAATTCTTTCCACAAACATTGTAAAACGGATGCTGCAGTTATCAACATTTATTTTGTCCACTGAACATTGCATTTCTATATCTATTTTAATGATATGCTTATTTTGATTGTGTGCCATTATAATGCTGCAGCAAGCATACGTACAATAGTTCAGGGNGCTAATTTGGGTGCTTTTAATCCGGTGCATAGAAATGCGTGTGAGAAAGTGGAAACAATTCTTTCCACAAACATTGTAAAACGGATGCTGCAGTTATCAACATTTATTTTGTCCACTGAACATTGCATTTCTATATCTATTTTAATGATATGCTTATTTTGATTGTGTGCCATTATAATGCTGCAGCAAGCATACGTACAATAGTTCAGGGTGTGCCAATTAACCTGTCTGATTGTCTAGGACAAGTAGAAATTTAGTTCAGATATTTAAACCTTTGACATGACTTGTGAATGGGACAAGCACATTTTTAATAGGAACAATTCAGAAACAGTAGAAAATGGACTTTCCTTTTACTCTGTAGTTATAGCAAATGTTGCAAACCTTGCCATTTTGTCTTGCTGGCATTTTGATTCAGTCAAAACATGATTACGTGTAATATGTTTTATTGTGTATAATTTTGTATTAATTAATTTGTTTATGATTGGATTACCATTATATGCTACAGGGAGCAAGAACTTGGCACAATAAATATGTTGTATTCCCCGAAAAAGAAAAGATACAGTAAAACACGTACCATAATATAACACCCCTACTTCCCCACAATGGCCACCTTCTTCTGTCTCCAAGGTGGCTATTGTGGAGAGGTTCAACTGTATCTGTACTTGTTTTTATTTCAATTTTTTCTCTCACAGATACAAACACAAGTTGAAACAACTGAAGATCAGAACGATCATGAAAACCCTCCCAGACGTTGGGTATCCACATGCACGAACAGTTCAGGAGACTCTGGAAAACTTTATATCATCTGCAGATGATGTCGTTAAAGTAGAGCATGTACCTGAAAGGAAGTATGGAAAAGACCGCTCTCACTCCTACAGTCATGAATACAAGTTGGTAAGTTGATAACATTAAAGTGTTAAATATACAGCTGGTTCTTTATATACTCTATGTATTTTATGTATTTTAGTTATTGTGGTTGCCCCACATGGGGCTGTACCGCTTGAAGAGCACTTCATACTTTTTCGTTTTGCTCTAATCTGTTGCTTCCCTTTAATTTTTCCTACTGTAGATTTTCTTGACAACTCTGTCTTATGATGAGTTTAATTAATTTTTAAATTTATCATTAATGTTCTAAATATGGGTAAATTATCACTGCAGGACGTTGTGTCAGGTGCCGACAAAATGTGGGAATTAATGAGCAGTAATGATAAAAAATTTCCGATGACTCATGATGGTAAGTTTTATTATTGCAAATACAATATGATCTCATTTGAACGGTAAACAGAGTAATTGCACATAATGATATTAATCAGATAACTCGCTAATTTTAAAAGCATGCCAAATGAGATTATTTTATATGGTTACACGAGAGTATGCCTGTTAAACAACGTATTAAAATGACATGGGATGCATTGTCATAATCGTTTGTTGAAGCGAAGTACCAAGCTTTTAGAGAAAAAAAATCCACTTTTCAGCATCAAACAACCCAATCTGGCAATTAATGTAAAATCATGTAGAAAAATCGGCAGAAGGCGATTTTTAGGGTTTTTCAGGATTAAGATAATTCTCAGGGTACTTTTTAAAACCAAGCACTTATCAGGGATAGGGTTGTGGCTTTGAATGTTTACAATGCGCAGTGGCCTGCTCCAAACACCACACCAATGGAGCCAAACATCAGCATCAATGATAGGCCACTGGCAGATGTCGACAGCTCTAAGCCCATGGGCGGCCGTCATCTTGAACGATGGATTCCTGCACACATGGTCTACTAAAAGAACAATTTCATTACATGGAGTAATACTGACTTCCAGTTGCCACCGTTTGAATTTTCATAAATTTTATGACTTTAAGTGCTGTTGAAACGACCGGCTTTGAAAAACAGAAGTCCAAGACCTATGGTGTGTTTCCGTTTCCAATACTTAAAATAAAGGCAAATTGGTTTTCACTTTGCTAAATGTTCGTGTCAAGGCTTCTGTACACTTGGGCAAATAAGATAAGTCAATATTCAGGATCCTCTTTGGGGACATAGGTGCCTTATCAACACTCCCCACTACAATGTAATGGCATGCAGGACATGCAGATTATGCTGAATATACCACTAAATACTCTTAGGCCTGTTTCAAACGTTGTGCTACTGTCGCGCCAAACTCAATGAATTTGGCGCGGCAGGGGCGCGACGTTTGAAATCATTCAGTTTAGCAACTTGAATTTAGTTCGACACGGCAATTAAATTCGACATGGCAAAGCTCGGTCCAAACGTCATACTATTACCGTGCCAAACTCAATTCATAAATTATGAAAATGTGTATGTTTAAGCGGAAGTGCTTTGACTCTTCTGCACCTGACAGTGACCTTTCTTTATTTTGAATTTTGGTGAGTGAATTAAATTCGACGTTTGAAACCATTTCCGTGCTATTGCCGCGCAACTTCCAGATCAAATTCATTTGAATTGGACACGGCAATAGCGCGACGTTTATTTTTTCTTCAGAAAAAAAAATTGGGAAAATGCAGATTTTTAGGCCTGGTTTATTACTGTAGTGGTGTCTCTTTATATTTACCCCCTCATTCGCATAGCTCCCTGAAATAGATGTGATTTCAATTCTTAATTGCAGGGTACTTCAAAATTTATCAACTACAAAGTCCAGTTTTGACCGGATTTGATTATTTATTGATTGATGAGGCTCAGGACTGTACTCCTGGTAAGAATTGAAGACCAATTTTACATATTCTTCGTCTGTTTTAAATTTCAAGCGAGAAACATTTTGTACAAATATGTACATACCTTAAAGTACTACTTATAAGTTCCCCTTGGTTTTCAGCCCTGATCCACCTGTCAACAGAAAAATGCATCCAATTAGAAGCCCCGGACAATTTTTTTTTGTTTGATTGATATTCAGAACATTAAGAAAACTTTTTGTGGAAAGCCTGTTACTACCACTTTATGCACTTTATGCCTGGCTAGCACCCCTTTAAAACCTCCGATTTTATTAGACCCCTATAATATATCACAACTCTTTTGTTTTGAGGCTAGGTTGAAGGCTTTGGTGCCTTGATACAGCTGGAAGGCGCCTCACAGGCAACTTTCATAATAATGACGCAGGATACATCTTAGCAAGGGACTCTTTTTTCAGTAGAGTATTTGCCATTATAAAGAACATATTATTAAGATAGTTACTTCCATGTGATTGTCGTTAGTTTCGATTTTGTTCCGAATATTGGATTGAATTCTATTAATAAATGAAAACGAGGGATATGAAGAACGTCTTTCTATCAATAGTGCTGTAGCTGTTTTCGAAACATTTTTTTTATTATTTCAATTAATTCATCTGAAAGCCCTTATAAAGTTGTAAAAGGCCAATGCTTATTAACAATAATTTATGGTGTTTGTAAGCTGTGTACAGTAAAGTAAAATCGTCAATACAAGAACGCTTTGGATTAAAATCTATAGTCTCAGATAGTGTGGCACTTAAACTTACTATGTAAGTCAATTAACCTTCGCTCACCCTGTAATTTCACAATTTATTTTTCAATATTGTGCAAAAAGAAAGTGCGCATGCAATTTTCGTAAATGTTGGCCATGTACCACCTTGTTGCTGCATTTAACGGACATAGAAAACTCCTGTTGGCAGGAACGTTTCTGAGAACCGTGATATACCTTTTTTTTTCAACTTCTTTTATTTAATTAACTGTGCTCTTTCATCTGTAGCTGCCTCAGCCTTTCTTCTAAGCCAGAAGTGTACAAAGATTTTGGTTGGTGATCCCCACCAACAGATTTATTCATTTCGCGGAGCAAGAAATGCTCTCCAGGAGGTGGAGAGTTCAAACACTTTCTATCTGACTGAGGTCAGTGGTTTATGCCTTTGATAATTTGAATAGTGTCCGAGTTTAAAAGACACGACACACTAGGCTAGAATGTCGCTGCAACAGGTGTCTGCGATAAAACTGCTCCTAAAGCATAAGGTGGCAGATCACGTCTTTTGTCTTTTTGTCCTAGACGTTTTCCCGATTTTTTTCCCCTGTAACAGCTCGCATAAATTCAAAGGAGTTGGAATTTGTGTCTTATAATATCAAACATTAACTGTTCTCTTCCGTGGTGGTGCTTTCTCAGATAAGAAGCGTCCTCTCATTAGGGCCACTTATACATCATAAGCCTGTACACAGATGTTAAAAAAACGGCACATTTTGTCTGAAATAAGAAGCTTCATATCTAAGAACAGGTGTTAAAGGCTGTGTTAAGGACAGTTTGCGTCTTATTTTTCCCTTTGTTAATGGCCCTATTGTCTCTCTATACCCAGGTGTATATATACGCGTTCGTGAGAACGTGTCCTATTATTGGTGTTCCTGTGGTACAAAGCCACAAATTTTGTACTGCCGATTAGCCGCCGCTACTGATTTTATTAGGGGAATCTCGGCCGGGAAACATGACTCCTTTCGACTCGAGTGACGAATGCGGATCCTTAATCAATGATGACCTCTAGTTCAGCAAGCGTGAAGATGTCTGGATGTCTGCGTTTGTATTGACCAATTCATGAAAGTTGACGTCAATTTAAAATAAAACAAGGAGGCCACTGCGGGACCAGCGCAGAAAATCCTGAGAGGGCAAAATCTGCCCATCTTTGCCGCTCAGGTAGCCAATCAGAACGCAGGATTCACTTCATTTTGCCCACCCGCGGTTAAGCCATATATTAATAAATTTGGTACAAGTTACTTATTACTAGATGGATTAGCATCCCATTTAGAAAGGAGAAATTATCTTTTGACTTTCAGTCTCTTTATGCAACTAAAACTACAGCTTTAAGCTCCTGCAGTTATGTAAGAACTTTCCCTTTTTTCTGTTAAAAGGATAGCTTTTGTACTCGCATTGTTTTATACAAGTTTGTTAGTAAAATTTATGTTGTGGTTGTTGGTTTTAAGTCTTTCAGATTCGGTCCTGAAATAGCCCATGTGGCCTCCAGTGTGTTGAAAGCACTAAAGGATATTCAGGAGAAGACTCTTGAGGGGGTAGCTGGTGAAGGTGAATGCCATTTTGTTTCTTTTAATTTTCTTCACTCTTCGCTTGTCTTTAATGAAAAAGAAATTTGGAAGGATGACATTGTTGTTGTATTCATGCTCAAATTCAAGATCAGCCAATTGGTTGTGTTTACTCTTAGTAAAGAAATAGAATGCTCCCTTTTTCTAATTGAAGGGGACCGACGCCAAATTATTCTAGCTGAAAACATGTCAAAATTGTACATCAGTAGGCTGCCTAAAATGGGTACAATTCCATAATTTGGTGTTGGCTTCTTTTTAAAATCCTATTCCCCGTTTTACACACACCTGGACAGTTTTCTTTCTCTGGAATCGAGGCCCCTGAATTTTCGTGTATTTATACACGCGTACAGCCTGCGACTGGTCGTCGCTAACACGCGTACTAAGTCAATTCAGAAACAAGTAAAAAGTATCGACGTCGATAAAGTAGGAAGTAAAAACCATTTAGCGAGTAAATCCGTTTCGTTTCGTGTACAATTAATCGCCTCCTCATTTCTCGAGCTAATCTTCAAGCAAGCGAGACTGAATGCCGCTGTTAGCGGCTTCTTGTTTTTACTCCTTACATGGGTTGTTTTTACTCTTTTTGGAGTTACTTAAACTCTGAAAGTGGAGTAAAAATTTTAGGTACAGGATAACTGGGGTGATTTTTACTCCTGAAAAAGGGTTCTATAAACTCTTTTTTGGAGTTAAAATAACTCTCCCAAATAACTCCACTGTAAGGAGTTAAATGAACCCCATTGGAGGAGTTATTATAACTCCTTAAAAATTACTGTGTGAGGTTTGATAACTTTAAACGTGAGCCTACGGCTCTGGAGACTGGGTAACCACTCCCTATGTATTTGACGTTAAGTAATGTTTAACTTTTTACCTTTTATACATCTAAAAATGATGTCTTTTTTAAAAAAGCTTTTCATTCAATTTCTTGTATCCTGCTAACTCAAAACCCACTCGTAGACAGTACACACATTTTACCATTACCCCATACAGGTCTCTCTCAAATAATGTAACCCACGTAAGCCACTGGGTTTGAATTTTTAAATTTTCTTTATAATAAAAGTTTGTTCCACCCAGGGGTTCAACTGTGTAGATTTTCTGTTTAAGATCTGTCTTGTTGTTGTTGTTGTTTTTTTTTTAGTTCTTGATGAGAAGTGTAGTAAACAGTTGAACGTAATTACACGAACAAATTACACATTGTTTAATGAAGCTGCCAGTGTTTGCCATGCAAAAGAGGACGTCAAAGTTGGCTTCATTGGGGTAAGGGCAACAGCAACTGCTTTACTGTGCTTTTCAGAAACGTGCGAACTCTGACGTTTGCATTCTTTGCTGCCGGTCAGTCATCCTAGCGGACTTCTTAGAAAACAGAAGTTTACTACGAGGGGATTCAAAAGTTCATAGTTTGTGATTGGTGGATTTCGATCCGTTTTGTTCGCTTGTGATCGTAATTATGATTGACAGGAGCGAAAAACGCAATTGTACGCGGATTTTACTTTTCAGAGTGCGCGTGTTATTGAGAAGCGCACTAAAGCTGATGCATTAAGGAGAAATGGATGAAAATCTCATCTTGGCCCATAACCATTGTCTCCTCGCGGAGAGGCGTTTCATGCGAATAAACTCTTTGTACCAGTCTTATGCAGAGTAAAAAATAATATGTTTAAAAGCAATTGTCAAACATAGAAAAGAATGTTTCATCAGGATATCCAACACCGAAAAGTGGGCTGATAATACGAGGCACAGCCGAGGTCTAATTAACCGACTTCTAGGTGTCTGGAAATCAGAGGAAACCCTTTTTTCTGTTTTTTGATAGCCTCTCAGACAAATTGTTTCGTGGAGAAATTCAAAGGAAAAGTTTGCCAAACTTTGCCTCGGTGCCTTTTTTTATTCATTGTCTACATTATTTTTTTAGGGAGTAAAGAGTCTTGGTTTAGACAGAGTCCACGACATATGGAAGTTGCGTCGCGCTGGAAGTGATACGGCTAAAGTTAAAAGTAAGTGAACTTAGTTTCAAGCCGTAAATTTCCATTTATAGTGGCACAGCTATTGCCACCTTTCGTTTTACCTTTGGAAGGGCTTTAAGTGTAGACTTTACCAAAACTTCTTTGTGACCTCAAATGAAAAAAAAAAGTGTGTGGGATAAGAATGTTAACCACCGAAAAATTGCATGTTTATTTGAGTAATGGCCATGCTAAGTCATACAAAGTGAGTCACGTTTCCAATTTTCTTGGCTTGTCTCACAATGACGTTTCGTTGACATTGCGGACGACACATCAACCGACTTATGGTGATCGACATATCATCCATCTTTACTTAACAACGAATCCGGGCTTTTAATCCGGAAACGGATATTTTGTTTCTTTACTAAAATAAACAAAACGGATTATTGATCCACATGATCCACAGCGGAGGTGGATTCTTTGGATCATAACCAAAACAGCCGATACTTTGGATACATGATCCGAAGCGTTTCTTCACTATGGACCCGAAATGAGTGAATACTGCCAGCGGAAACTCGACACAATTTTAATACATACATCAGCTGGTTGATAGCCTGTGGTGCAGGCGTTTTCTTTGAGCGCGCAATTTGCTCGCGAAAGCGCCATGTGGAAACTTCCCGAAGAGAGGAGGAGATAAGGCAAGTAAGGGTTACTATTTCTACTCTCCCCAATCTTCCACTGTCATAAAATCAAAGATGGCGGCTACAACAATATTACGAACACGAGCAAGGTTTCGCCCACCCAAAATACGCCTGTACTGCAAGCTAGCTGTTTGACTGCACTGTTCATCTTTACAGCCAAGCCGAGACGTGGATGAAACGATTGAGTTTATCCGTTTTATGGGAGTGGTAAAATACAAACAGGACCCACATTGTTCTAGTTCAAAAGGACAAACCTTCAACACAACTTCGCCTCTCTCGTCGATATTGTGGGTCGTTTCTATGGAAATGAATAACGAATAATACATTTTTGGATACATCGTTTCTAGTTTCTAAACGAAAAATCCTAATGATCTGAATTTTTGATCTGATCTTGGATTTTAGTAAAGAGACGCACCCTTAGATGACTGTAATTTATAGATTAAAAGAAGAGCAAACAAACAAATGTTTCATCAAATGTCCATTAGATGTTTTGAAACGAAAACAGAGCCTGATGTGAGGTGAACAAAATAGAAGTGAACTGTGGCCATGTTCTATTCGACGAGCATGTTGTATATTATACGAGCTGTAAGTTGTTTTATGACTATACTTTCGTTTACATTTCACAGCTTTGGATATCAAGGATAAATTAATAAAGCATTTTGGCACTTTTCCGGCACTTGAAAAATACGCCAGAGATGCTCCTGATCCTGAGCTTCTTTCAAAGATAAAGGTATGGGTATTAATTTTTTACTTAGCCTTCTCAGGAGCCTATTACTTTGCTCCACCTATACCGGGGTGTCTAATCGAACGGAATCGAACCAAAAACCAGTCGAATTCAATCGAGCGTGATCAGTCTTTTAATTTCGTTTGAATTCGATTTTGTACGAATTCGATCCACCTCTTGACGCCAGAATTTTACCCCCAGGAGTAAACATAATGATGAACCTGTATAAAATGAATCAATTTAAAAAAACAACTGTCCTAACGATTTACAAAGCGACTACTCGAACCGGGCACTTCTTTGGAAGACGATTATCCTGTCATACCGTTTTTTAAAAAGCAAAGATTCTCAAGAGTTTTTGCAAATAAACCAATATTATCCTCAATCTATAAATTTGAGGGCTGTTGCCTGAGAGGTCAGGTTAGTTGTTTCAACGGTTGCATAGTTGACCTTAAATTTTATTGGTCCGTTTGCAAAAAAACCCCCTGAGAATCTTTTGTTTTCAAAAAACGTTGTGATTGGATAATCTTCTTTCAAGTGCCCCGGTTCGGATAGTCGCACAGATGTCAAACAGTCGCTGTACAGTAGTTTGGTAACAGTTGAATGTTGCATTATGGCACGATCTAGCTTGGGGCGTGACCTCGGACTGTCCAAGAACAGGTTAGGTCTGATAAAATTCCGACCGTTCTTTGATCGAACGTTTTAACTTGTGATGTCGTAATCTCTTACCCAGATCTCTTACTGACAAAGCCTGCTTCGTCAAAAAGAGATCTGGGTACGAGATTAGTAATTTCGGAAAAAGGCGTCTGCTCTCCAAGGCTAATGGAACACGAAAATTAAACGAACATTTCAGCAAACTATCGGCTTTTGACTGAGTTACTCTAGACACTCCTTACATGTCAGGGGTTTAAAAAGAACAAATTCCGACTTTCTTCAGGAAGACAAGTTTTTTTATCGAGTCCACATGGACTTTTGCAGTAAGTATGGCTAAAATAATACATTCTGTTGTGTCAGATGTCGAAGCTTGTACTTCAAACAGACAGTTGGAGTGGCTGCTGGGGAGAGGTGTTCGAATTCAAAAGGTTGTCACACGCGTAATAGTATGTTGTTCGATTTGAAAACGGTGGCTGCTTTTTACTGCAGGTAGAAGTGTAAAACTGCAGCGAACGAATCTTTGTTAATGATTGCTTTTGCTTTCCGTTTTGGTGCTTTTCGTAGATTGTAGAGATGCATGAGGAAAACTTGGACGAAATCGTTCAATTGTTGAAATCCAAAGCTGTCAGGAAAAATCACAGTGCAGGTTAATATATGTACTTAAACTTTTAAGTAAACTGGAAACGTGTAGGAACACGATATAGCTGAGGAAATAAGAAGTTTCTGCGCGATCCTTGGAACAATTTTTGTAAATTTGTGTATGTCCACGCGTTATTAACATGGCCGTGCAGAAGTGGCCGCTATGGAATATTGATAACTGGACTGAATATTTTCTAGGGAACAAGCTGACTAAGATTTGGTTCGCCAGTTTCGCCATTTCCGCCATTGCATGCATTTCTGGACATAAGTGGCAAAGAAAGGCATTAAGCTCTCCAACCCTAGCGAGATAATTTAGGGTTTTGATACATTCTCTTTCAACATGTTTCACTTTACTTCCAAGTTAAAGTATCCAAATAAAAGCATTCTCCATTTATATTTTGAGTAGGGATCTGGAATTTACCAAAATTCTAAAAACGCACACCGCTTGGTCTTGGAAAACCACGGCACCAGGGATTTCCTTAAAAATTTCCCCAATAGCGCATCACCGCAAATCCTTAGGCCTCCCTTGATAGATGTGGCGGCCATGACGTCATGTGAAAACAATCCATATTATACGCAAGTTTATTTCCGTTGACCGTCAATCGAAAAGACAGAGATGTATTTTGTTTGTTTTTTTTTTTCCCAGATGTAATTTTTTCCACGGCTCACAAAGCAAAAGGCCTGGAATTTGATCATGTGCGTGTGGCAGAAGACTTCCTTTCTGGATTGGACTCGGGGCTTTACCTCGGTGAGTTGACGACCGGTTCAGCTTGTGTGTGTTTTCCATCCGCTTGTACAACAACCACCTCGTAAAGGATAATAGACCTTTTCGGCTTGTATGTTTTTTCCCCCGCTTCAGACTACGTAATGTTTTTCAATAAAGTGTGCATGCATATGTCACCGGTCAAAATTAAATACAGATTAGAATTTTTCAACCTAAGTTCATTCGTAATTTACGTTGTCTCCTAGCCCTTATTCATGAATAATCAGGGGTAGGAAACATATATACAGTAGGATAAGATGACATTTGGAAGAACGTCACTTGGTCTGAAATAGGAAAACAAAACATACAAGCTAAGAAGGTCTATAAAGTGCATCGAAGAACATTTTAGTAATCTTAATTGTGGTGGTCAATCCAACTATTTCATCCACAAACCAATTCGTTGAACCACCATGTTCAGTCAACCCCCATATGGCGGACACCCATCTTGACGGCGAGTTAGGTGGCCTGGATAGCAAGGGTCCGCAATAGCGGGGTGCGAAAAGAATTTCGCTTAAAAGCATTTGCATTAGTGGGCTATCATGCATTTACATTTACAACAGTTTTGATTGATGCGCAACGGAAGAATCCGTTAATCCAACCAAAACGATGCATATGATAAAAAAAGAAAACAGATGAAATATTTTTAGTCATGTCTGAATGCTGAAAGATGTCGCTCGGTAGAACAATGATAAAATGGAGTTGTTGGGACGTTAAAAGTGGCCTTAACGGGAGTTGTTTTTATTTCTGGTGTCGTCGTTGTAATTGTTTTTTTTTTTTTCAGTCCAACATCTGTAAGTTATCCCTATTCTAGGTCTTCTAGGGATGTCCATCTGAGCGAAGGAATCGAACCCGCGGCCTCTTCCTCAATAAGTCAAGCGCTCTGCCGACCGAGCTAGTCTAGCCGCGGTCGGACTTAAAGTTTATCCTTAAATTTGTAATGCTAGTTATTTGATTAACGTTTTTAGACGAACTGGAGGATGATGAAAAGAACCTTTTGTATGTAGCGGTTAGCCGGGCCAAGAAGTCCCTTAGACTCAGCCAGAAAATTGTGAACCTCATACACTTACAAAAGGTACTGAGTTTAATTACTATGCTGAGTTGTGAGTTGTTGCTTTTTGGTTGTTTGTTTCCTCTCCAAATGCAGCACGTATTTTCTAAAAAAGAAGGTCAACTCAAGTCCGTGTTCAGAATTTCTTACCTTTGCGTAGCGTCTTCGAATCGTTCAATTCTAGCCTTAAACATCAAAGAGATATTATACCTGAAACTATGGCCAGGTGGCTGTGAAATGTTGTTATCCCGCTCGAGATAAGAAACTTATTCTTTGTCGTTGCAAATTTTCGTTTTTGTCCATCCACATGTACGCGTTCGAGAGAAGGGCGTTTTCAATTACTTCCTGACTCTGGAGAGTGTTTTAAGGGACCGTTTTGTTCGAATACGCGTGAACAGAAGGGCAATCTGGAGAAAAACGATCCTTTTTCAAGTAAAAATGAATGCCTGTGGAGGTTTTTGTTTGGCACAGCCGAAGTGAAGTAACCACAAATATCACACACCCACACATGTGTTATACTCTTTTTACCAGTCCTGTATTGCAGGAGCAAGTTCTTTTTGTAATTCCAGCTTCCTTTATTTACAGCCCTGTGTCAAGTGTAAGAGCCAAGTTGTAGAAGAACTCATCGTTTCGGTAAGTGGTTTGAACATTTTGTTTTTATTTATTTTTGTTTTACAGTTGCTATAGTAACTGAAACACTTTGCAGTCATATCTTGTCGGTAATCTCCCTGGACTGAGTAATAAAAGTGATAATTCTGATTCTGAAGGCCAGATAGAAATTACTTTACGATTCAGTGTAAATAAGGAGAGTCTATAATCCTCAAGTCGTTGCTAGCAATTATATCTATTTTCATTGTTTCTAGTCAAAAGAAACTTTGGAAAAAGGGATAATTGTGATCATAGTCGTGGTACTACATATCATGAAGGTGAAGTTTGACCTGTTGCGTCGAAAAACCACTATTCTTGATGCAAAAAAATTTGCGCTCCATTTTCTCTTTGAGTCAGACTGTCTAGTGATCGCCGGACGTGCTATATTGGCTAATCCGCCTCTGTGTAAGAATCTTTAGAACTCACGGCTAACGTAAAGCAAAGAAAACAAAGAAATCAACGTAGCAGTGGTTGAGAGAACTTAAGGGACACCACAAAGAAAACGTACACAGTTTCATGCACCGTTTTACTTTTTCAATCGGTAAGGATATAAATCAGTGTCAACCAAGTTCATACACCTGTGAGAACCAAAGGCTGGATTACACATACTTCCTACGACGTGTATACAGGTCGAAAGCGAAGGCGAACAAAAAGTGATACAGAAATAAGGGTCTCACGCACAGCTGCGCAGATCATTCTTTGAATGACAAACGGATGCTATGTATTGCCATTGGACGGGGTCCAATGTAAGACCTACAATGCAAGCCACTTAGGCCCGGTTGAGACGCCGATCTTTTCATGAGCCGAACCGAATTCGAATTAAGGCCGACCCAAATTATTTAGACCGGCTGAATTGATTCAGACGCCGATCTTAACTGCCGCTGAACTAAGTTCAAAAGGCGAAAAATGCTTATTTCAGTCAAACTGTTTACAAAATACGCTATTTTAACTTAAGCATTAGGTTCGGTACATGAAAAGTTCGGCGTCTGAATCAAAGTCGTTCCATAGGCGAAATTCCTGGCCGGGCTAGGAGAAAAGAACGGCTGAGCCGTTCCAAATTGAATTGGTTTGGCTCATGAAAAGTTCGACGTCTGAACCAGGCCTTACACAGACACGTGAATTGCTGATCATTAGTTTTACGTGTTATTACAAGAGGCACTAATGAGACAAGAGTTAGTTTTTCTGATTACCAATTTAAGAGTGTACTTTTTAATTGCTAGAAGTAGGAGAATTTTTAGCGAATATGGCCACCCCATCCTTTTTTGGACTTCGTTCGTTTACTCATGCTTTTTTTTATCAGGAAATTACTTCCAGTTATAGCTAGTTTATTTCGTTGAGTCTGCAGTTTCATGCTGTGGACCTTCATCTTAGTCACTGATATTCTACCTTGTTTTCTAGGGTGAAGGATTCTTTTGCCGCTCCTGCGCCCGGTCGAATTTTCCTTACCTGGAATCTCTCGCATTGGAACAATCAGCGTTCTGCACATTCAGTCCAAAACTTAACCCTGTCGGCGCTACCAGGGTAGACTTTGAAGACTTTTAAATGTAGTTCTAGTTCTAACTTTTGAGTCTGTCTTCAAAATCAAAAATCAGTTTATGGAACGACAATTTATTTCAAACTATTTGTATTTTAAAGGAGACATCTAGAATCTTTCTTGTCGATTGGTCATTTTAACAGTAGTTACAAAGTGAATAGTTTCCGGATAAAACATTTTTTCCTGTGCTGCAGTTTAGACTTATGTTGGGCTTGGTTTTCATCTTTCTTTCTTTGTTTTTTTTTTTTCGTTGTATCGACTTGGTGAGCACAATTTCTCACGATAAACGTGAAACAAAGAAAATGAAAATCAAACTCAAAAGAATCAAACCACAACATTGCATACGTCATGTATAATCTAAATTAGAGATACTGTGGAGATAAAGTTAATACTTTTAAGGGAGTACCATTTATCTCAAATGGTCTTTATTTATGTTCAGATCGTCAGAGCTCCAAGCAATTTTTAACGAGATTACCTACCAGGGTATAAAAAATGGAAAGACACGATATTGCAGTCGAGATATGACTTGAAAGCACGCCGTCTTAAAATGGTGACAGAGATATCACAGATTCAGAGAAAAAATTTTAATATAGCATAGTAGAGACTATGACGCTGATTACGATCGCAGTTGTGAGAAATGGGTGCGTATTATATCGTAAGTGGCTACTCCAAAGGAGGTCATTAATTTATTTCAAAACATCGAGTATATGGCAAGCAATTTTTAGCAAGATTACCTTCCAGGGTATAAAATATGGATAAACAGGGCAGAAGTGGCTTGATTAGGACTAATAAAAACTGTGAAACAGTCTGTACATGTTGTATTGTGGTATATGTAGTAATAGTTCTCCTCGCTCAGGCACAGGCACTTGCTTAATCACGAGACCCAATCTCTTTCCCAGAGTTCCCGGTGCCCTGTCCAGCGGTGGACAAGGGTTTACACCCTTGATACGTGGTGTAAAGAGAGCTATGAGGGCGTTTTTATGGTTTGTAGTCCATGAGTAGTCGGCCACTGGGAACGAGATTGCACAGGACCATGAAACCTTGAATAGTCCATTTTCGAGTTCGCTATGACTGCTGAATTAAAGAAGTGAAGACGCATTTTTTACAGCTTTGGCCTCCATCTGAAGTAATATATTCACAAATTCCAACGAGAAAAAGATCTGTTTATTACTCTGTCTATTGTGTATATTCAAATTTCAAACACTTACGTGCCAGAATTTCTGAAAATGTTACTTTACGTCGAGGGTAACCCTGTATGAATGTGTCGTTAATGTATATATTGAGCGGTAATTTTTAATTCGAAACTGGACAATTCCAACCTGGATTCTTAAATTAAAAAAATCAAACTGCGAGTTGTCTCTTCAGCATTTTTATTTCCAAAGTTACTCCACGCGTAACCTATGCACGCGCTTGTAACTTTGTTGTTCGCAATAGCGAACTAGAGCTGGACGGATTTTACTGAAGAAAAGAAAAAATACCTTTTTGGAAATTTTTTGCATTCAACAATTTGAATCAGTTAGAACAACATGGAAACGAGGCTATATGTACTGTTTGTCTTCTCGCGTGACTTGTGTACCACATACTGTAGAAACAAGACGCTAACGGAGCGTACACTTGGGCGTCGTTGTATCACGCATACGTGAGGATTTTTTTGTGTCAAGTACGTGTGAGTGTCGCAATCATGTGTTGTTGGTTGAAATGGGTGAAAAAGGCAAGGGATGTGGAGCCATTGTGGACGTTGCGAAGGAATCTCATTATCTTTTTTTAATACGATAAAAACAATTGGCTCTCGTAGCCTTGACCAGTTTTAAGCTGTTTGTCATGCTCTAGATTTATTTAACCGGTTTTAAGCGCCAGCTCGTCTGTGACTTGAAATCACTGAGCCGTAACGTATTTTTGCACGTTTTTCTGATGCTATCATTGTCCTAGTTCCTGTTCACTGATTCGTGGCGCGCAAATCGTGCATATTTAATGAGGACGCAGGGAAACTAGCTATTTTTACCACGAAAAAAATTTTCATTTTCCCTCCTCCCTTGTTTTTGCTTCTCAACATTTTTATTGCTTTCCCTCCTCCTCCTCCTCCCTGCATGTGCATTCACGTGATTACCGTGACATCATTCAGACCTTAAACTCAACACCAGTGCCTTCGCGGCCACATGCCGTGCATATTAGTCGGTTCAACACTGGCATCCGAAGAATGTGGACAGATTCGGGAAAAATCTCGCTATAGAATTAATAGAGTGCCGCTGACCAAAAATAGGCAGCGGGCTCCTTTTGTCGCCCGCAATAATTATTTAAATGATATTTTTTGTTTTATTTTTCATATAATTTTTTTAACCTCTTTAACTTTCATCCCCTTGTTTTTCTCCTTGCTCCGTTACTCGTTACTCGTTACTCGTTACTACGTTACTCTGTTTAGTAACACCCAGCCTTCTGTATTTTCACTTTCGAATTCAAGAATAGAAATAACCCGTGTTTTTAGCACTTTAAGGTTTTCCCAGTCCATGCATACCTCATACCTCATGAAACCAGGAACCTGCTACAAGGAGATTTTTTGTGGAGAAAAAGCAAGCGCCCCAGGAGAATCCATAGGCAAAGAAGAAGTTTTAGATTCTAATTCGAGTTCAGGTGAATCAAATGTGCCTTTTTCAAGAAAACAAATCTCTACTGTTCCGCTAGTAAATGTTCCTGTACTGCTCAATGCAATACGATTGCCAGGCAGCAACAGCATGTATAAAGAGAATCGTCGATCCCCAGAGAGCAGTTGTCGACGATCACTTTCCCGCTGCCGTACTCCATTGTCACAAATAAATTTAAGACAGGATTGTAGTCAATTCCGTCTCCACAATTCACCTTTTCTGGCACCTCGATTTTGGAAACGGAGTTATTGGCAAGGACTTTTCTTTTTCCGAAATTATGCTTGATTCTCACAGGTAAACGAAGACTGTAGAAGTACAAACTTTGTAAACGACGGGCAAACATACCAGTGGAAGACATAGTCACAACGATGACCGTTAAATATTGAAAGCATCACTGCATATGGAAGTGGTTTCGGTCGGCCGCCATCTCAGTTTTGTCTGTTCGATGGGCGCGGTTTGCCTTCAACTTCAACTTCAACTTCAATTTTATTTAAATTTGGAAATATAACAAATGATACATTGGGACTGGCCTGCAGTTAGCGAGGCTATTCGAGGCAGGCCAGGCTACATAATTTACTACAAACTAGACAAATACAAAGAAATTAGACGTTATATAAGTATATATATTTTACATTAAATAGATACTATTCTACTTAAATGTAAGGACAATATTAAAGTGGAATTTTAAAAATAAAATAAAATGAAAATAAAGGACAATAGAATTACTTTTTCATTTTAACGATGATCGTGTCCACATCAATATAGGAGTCTTCAGTTTCAAGGATATCGAGTAGCATTTCTTTTAGTGATCTTTTAAAAGCTTTTTTTGTCTTTCTTTAAGAATTTGAGGTATCCCATTCCAAATTTTGACCCCAACACGCGAAAAAGCATTTCGTTTGACACTGAGTCGAGATTCTTTAGTATAAAAATGTTCAGAGGTTGAGGCACGTGTGTTGTAAGTATGAACACTAGAAATTCGAGAGAAGAGTTTCAAAATATTATCCGGAGCAGTGTTTTTATTTACATCATACATAAGACTACAAACGGATTCATAATATAGAGACTGTAAAGGTAGAATTTTTGCATTGACAAAAAAAGGTATTGCGTGGTCGTTGTTTCAGCAAAATATATTAAACGCAGTGCGCGTTTTTGAAGAATTTGGTCAAGGAAAGTTTTACACGCGTTGCCCTAAGAGATAAGACCGTAAGTTAGATAAGGTGTAATTAATGACTGATAAATATTTAAGAGGGTGCAAGTGGGAACAATATGTCTTAATCTCGCAATTAGCCCCATTGTTTTACTTATTTTATTTGCAACAGAGTGAATATGGGTCTTCCAAGATAGATTTTCATCGATTAACAGTCCAAGATATTTAATAAAGTTTTTGCGTTCAAGGGTAACCTTTTTGTTGCTTTCATTGTCAAAAATATTAACCTGGGGATCATAGTTGAGTTTTTTTGGTATGGACGAAAAATTACATAGTTTGACTTTTTAATATTCAGAGAAAGTTTGTTTGAAGTCAGCCAGTTATACAAGTTGTGTAATTCTGCATTTACTGTTAGTTCCAGTGTCTTTAAATCTTTATGAGCATAAAGAGCATTAGTGTCATCAGCAAAAAGGAAAAATTGGAGTTTGCTCGAACAATATTGGATGTCATTTATATAAAGCAAGAAGAGAAGTGGACCAAGGACAGAACATTGAGCTACGCCGCAATTGATATTTAGTTTACTAGATATACGAGAGCCGATTTCAGTATCTGTGTGCGATTTGATAAATAAGAGGAAATCCATTGATTGGCAATTCCACGGAAGCCATAATAATTTAGTTTGTCAAGTAAAATAGTATGATTCACAGTGTCAAAGGCTTTTTTTAAGTCAATAAAAATACCACATGAAAAGAGTTTTTTGTCCATATTGGTTTATATAGTTTCTACCATATCAAGAATAGCATGTTGGGTTGAGTGAGCGTGACGAAAACCATATTGAGACGAATATAATAGGCTGTGCTTTTCAATAAAGTCTCTCATTCTGTCGAACATAATTTTTTCGAATATTCTATTGAAATTTGATAATAATGAAATTGGCCTATAATTAGAAGTGTCGGTCTCGTCGTCAGCTTTGAAGATAGGTATAATTTTTGATATTTTAAGTTTTGGGGGTAAGCCCCAAGAGAGACAGATGTATCGAGAATATCTGAAAGAACTGAAGATATGACTTCGCTTGAGTATTTAAGAAGTTGAGTAGGACAGGAGTATAAGCCATGCGATTTGCTGTTTGGTATAGATAAAATTTGAAATTGAATTTCGGATGGAGTTACAGGTCTGAAGAAAAATGGAAAAAAGTTCTGGCGAACTGGAGTTTCTTAGGTAGTCTATGAAGAGACGCTCTGCCGGTGGTAGTTTGCTTGCTAAGACGTTGCCAACATTTCGAAAATGTTTATTTAAGAT